TGCTCTGTTCCTGAGTCACTAGGATATTAGTGCTCTGCTCCTGAATCACTAAGTTATTAGAACTAAGCGACTGAATCTCTCTGTTATCAGAGCTCTGTTTCGGTACCACTAAGTTGTAAGTTTTTTTTTTTTTAATACCTGTTTGTATACTGACCACACTGCAGCCTGGAAGATCAGGTTACTTACTAAATCATTCTTCCTCTTTACAAAGAACAAGTCAGAAATTATTTTTATTCTTAAGTGTGACGTTCTTCAGTATACACGTGACTTTAATATTTAACATGCTTTAAAATATTCTTCCCATTTATATATTCTACTTTTTTATTCTATACGATAGTTTTATTTTAGTTTTATATTCGACCCTGTAGTCCATATTCTCTCTCTCTCTCTCTCTCTCTCTCTCTCTCTTTATATATATATATATATATATATATATATATATATATATATATATATATATATATATATATATATATATATATATATATATATGCAATAAGATCACAGTAAACAGGTGATTTCAGAATATGCAAAACAACCACTGTGAAAGAATAGAGAAATTCCAAGCGCTTTCGTAACTACTCACATTATCAAGGAACAATGAAAATAATGCATCAAAGGAAGGCATATAAAGGGTCTAGTCCACACCTCACTATCAACTCCAACAACAAAGCAACAAACACCTGACGCGCGACTCATAAGAAAGGGAACACTGCAGCAGGCCCCCTGGCCCAACTAGACAGGTCCTTCACACAACCCACCAACAAACTATTCTACCCAAGAATTAAGAATTTTAAAATTTATTATTTGTCCAATGTATTATTAAATTCTTCCCAAATTCTATTAATTATAAATGGACCTAATTTATATAAACCAAAGGAAATATTCATATTATTGTCAAAACTGCTTTTTATGAAACAAGATTCAATTATATTCCTGTCGACCATGGACTTGATTGATACAACTTTCTCAACTTTTTGAAAATCAACTGGATGGTTAAAATCTCTCACATGAATAAATAGACCATTGGAATCTTGTCCAGTTCTAATGCTATATTTATGTTGTTTTAATCTTAGTTCGAGATTTTTACCAGTTTGGCCGTAATAAACTTTATCGCAAATTTTACAAGGAATCTTATAGACACATCCGTCAGCATTTTGGGGGGAATTCTTTATCAAAAGTTTTTTTACTGTATCAAGATTTTTGAATACAACTTTAATATATATATAATATATATATATATATATATATATATATATATATATATATATATATATATATATATATATATATATATATGTGTGTGTGTGTGGTAATATATTATATATATATATATATATATATATATATAATATATATATATCTTTATCAAAAAATTTTTTTACTGTATCAGGATTTTTAAATACAACTTTGATATTAAAAGTCTTAAGAAGAGAAGGCATATCAACCAAGTTTTCATGGTAAGGGAGAACCAGTATATTTTTAGTAGAATAAGGCTGGTTGTCCGTTTTTGGATTGTAAAAAGTATTTCTAGCAATTTTAAAAGATTTATCAATTACGTTTCTTGGGTATTTCAAATCATTACCTATTTCATAAATTTTGGATATTTCCTCATCTATGAACTCTGGACTACAAACACGTAAAGCTCTCAAAAACATTGATGAGAAAACAGACAGTTTAACTCTATCTTGATGTGAAGAATAATAGTGGACATAGGAACAGTTATTTGTAGGTTTTCTGTAAATTTTAAATTTGAATTCATTACCCTTAATAATTAAAACATCTAGAAAAGGCAATGAGTTATTTTCTTCAAACTCAACAGTAAAGTTTATAGAATGGGCTAAGCTATTTAATTTGGCAAGGAAATGGTGTATATCTACATTCTTGGGCATAAGACACAAAATATCATCAACATATCTGAACCAGGTGTTGCTTTGTTGTTCGATTTGATAGTGAGGTGTGGGCTAGACCCTTTATATGCCTTCCTTTGATGCATTACTTTCATTGTTCCTTGATAATGTGAGTAGTCACAAATGCGCTTGGAATTTCTCTAGTCTTTCACAGTGGTTGTTTTGTGTGTATATATATATATATATAATATATATATATATATATATATATATAATATATATATATATATATATATATATATATATATTATGTGTGTGTGTGTGTGATGTCGTGCTGAATATGTAAAACTGGTCAATTAGCAAGAACTCATTTAAAATTAAGTCCTTTCTGAAATTTTCTCTTATACGTTTAAAGATACATTTTTTTCATTAATGTTCTTCAAGATTCTCCTTTGTATGGACTGATGAAGCCACTGTGTGGCGAAACGTTTCCTCAATAAAGATACCCAAGAGTTGCACATGTGTCTAATTTATCCACATGTGTCTAATTTATCAATGTTAATGTAAAAATTTTTAATTTTGCACCAAAAGGAACTTAGAAAACTTACCTAACCTGATTATAACAAGCGCAATTTAATTTAACCTAACCCAACTAAATATATTTTAGATTTGTTTACAGTAATTTAATATTAAACAAACACAATGAAATATTTTTTTTTCGTTAGGTTCAGAATGATTTTGGCGAAATTATTGCATACACAAATTTTCGCTTGTCCTATATGGGAAGATGATCGTTGCTATTTAAGCCAAGATAGCAAGTTCTGCCTATTCGGCACGAGATACATATATATATATAATATATATATATATATATATATATAATATATATATATATATATATATATATAATATATATGTCGTGTCGAATATGTAAAACTGGTCAATAAGCAAGAACTCATTTAAAATTAACTCCGTTCTAAAAAATTTTCTTATACGTTTAAAGATATATTTTTTTTCATTAATGTTAATATAAAAAAAATAAATTTTGCACCAAAAGAATCTTAGAAAACTTACCTAACCTTATTATATCAAGAACAATTTATTATAGCCTAACCCAACTAAATATATTTTAGATTTGTTTACAGTAATTTAATACTAAATAAACACAGTGAAACATATTTTTTTCGTTAGGTACAGAATGATTTTGGCAAAATTATTGCATACACAAATTTTCACTTGTCCTATATGGCAAGATGAGCGTTGCTATTTAAGCCAAGATCGCAAGTCCTGCCTATTAGGCACGACATATATATATATATAATATATTATATATAATATATATATATATATATATATATATATATATATATATATATATATATATATAATTTTGCAAAAATCATCCTGAACCTAACGAAAAAAATATATTTCACTGTGCTTGTTTAGTATTAAATTACTGTATCTAAAATATATTTAGTTGAATTAGGCTAAAATAAAATACGCTTGTTATAATAAGATTAGGTAATTTTCTAAAATTCTTTTGGTGCAAAATTATAAATTTTTACATTAACATTAATGAAAAAATATATCTTTAAACGTGTAAGAGAACATTTTAGAAAGGACTTAATTTTAAATGAGTTCTTGCTAATTGACCAGTTTTACATATTAAGCACGACATATATATATATATATATATATATATATATATATATATATATATATATATATATATAATATATATGAGGCCCAGTACTTTATATACTCAGTATATATTCGACGTAGTTTATTTTCATCTTGTATTCGAATAAGTAATTTATTTTCTTATTTTCTATACATATTTCTTCACTACTTTTTCCTTATATTAGTCTCAATCGTTTTATTTTTCTTATATTCATCCCAGTTGTTATATTTTCTTCACATATTTGTCTTACATATTTTATTTTCCTCCTATTCTCGTCTCAGTCGTTTTATTTTCTCCCCCTGTTACTGTCACTGAGGTCACAAGTGACGCACTTCCATTAAAAATGAATCTAGGAGGCACGACATGTGCTCCCACTTGTTTGGGACACACGTATCGTGTGTAAAAATATGTTATTGTTGCAACAAACATATCAAGAATATCTCAGGGGGCGAGCTTCCAGTGTCGTACATATGGTTTGTTAGATTTGAAATTCTTCGTAACTGGGGGACACTCGGTGCTGATGAAACGGTTTTTTCATCCAAGGAATATGAATTTGGGTTTGGTGCTTCCCCGTGAATATAATAATATGTAATAATTTAGGTTAATAGTTAAAAAAATTATCAATTCAAAATTAGTGCATGAGAGCTAAAACCGCAAGGGCCTTACAATTCCTTATGAAATGGGAGGTAAATAGGTTCGATCCACAGATGGGGAGGTAAATTGCAGTGTCAAGGAAACCTACCCTGAGGGAATTAGAGTTCTTCATCCCTTATATTAAACCTAAATACTTGCCATATTCAATATGACCCCTTGAATATAGAACAATATCAATACTGTTGTTTTATTTTCTGCCCGAATAATGTTTTTCAAGTAAAATTTACTGTTGATATATAAGATTAGGCAGGAAATATTTTCCAAGATCAACTTTCATTACATGTAACAAAAATATGTGATAGAGAATATAGATAAGAACATAAGAATGGAGGAACACTGCAGAAGGCCTACTGGCCCATACAAGGCAGGTCCTTACCAAAACGACCCCTACCCAAAGCTTCCCAAGAATATTCTCCTGTACCCTATGACACCAGTCGAACCCAGTCCCTCCCACTCGTGAGCATGTATATACTAAGAGCTTGAATGGGCAATATCTGACATCCCATTGTCTCACTTACACATGGGCAATATCAGTCACTGTGTTTCTACCACACCTGGGCAATAGCTGCCATCCTGGTGTGTTTCTTCCATACTTATGGGCAATAACTGCCATCCTGTGAGGAAATACAGTATTATTGGCACTTGATATCTTAATCGTGATATGAAAAATGCATATTCTGTAATGTAACCTTGATATAAAGAATGTTCTATTTTGTATAATTTAGCCTTGTTGTGAAGAATGTATATATTATAATATAACCTCGATATAAAAATGTATGATATTTTGTATTTTGAAGCATTTTTATGTATTTTACAGATCTGGGACGGATACAAGTGCCAACAATACAGTTTCGAAAAGTAAGTGAGTTTTCTCCATCGTTATTATAAATAAGATTGTCGTTTTCATAGATTCTTTGGCATGTGAATCTATACTCATCAAATGAGGTATGAAAATCATCCTGTAATACGGAATGTAAGGAAACTTAGCTAGCAAGAATATAAATAACAAAATTCTGGTTTTAACAATTGGCAAATAACCCTCAATTTAAGGTGGCTCGTGTCTCAAGTGGTAGTACCCTCAACTGACAACTGAGGGGACCAGTGTTCGATTCTGGCAAGGAAGGAAAAGTTGGGCATTTTTTCTTATTTTTGTTGCCCTTGAATATTAGCCGAATTTCTGGGTCGCTTCCCTCCCTGGGATGCGACTCAGGCCCAGTAGCGAGGGCTTCTCTTTGAAATAAATGTAGAGTAGTGTAGCAACATACTGCAGATGTAGCTAAATTTAAAAAAAAAAATCTCAGTAAGTTATCAGTGAGGGAAGATTCTCTATACTGGCGCCACGTCTTCCAGGTTTCTGGCTCATCATGTCATGATTGTTGGAGATGCAGCTGAAGCGACTTCGACGGGTGACGGGGAATCATGGTTCGTCTTGTGACTCCCATCTGCTCTTATCTTGGAGACCACATTTCAGATGTTATTATTACTCAGTTTTCGTCTCGTAACTCAAGGTTCACTGCTGACTCAGCCGAACGAGAAATGAAGCTTAATTTTGTCATCAGTGGTGTCTGAACGTCTGGAGACTTCCAGTGAGAGAGAGGACGGCAGGAGGAAAGTGAGGGAATTGGGGCCGGAGGGAGAGACGAAGCGAGGAAAGAGGGAGGAAGAGGGAAGGGTGGAAGGGAAAAAATGGGAGAGGAAGGAGGAATAATTAGTACGACACAGGTATAGAGAGTGTGTCAAGAGACAGAGGAATGCAATCAGCAGTATATAAATACATAAACAGTTGAAAACAACATATTGCATGGTTTTCCATTGTATTTTTATTAGTCTACTACTCTATATAAGTTGAAATATAGGATAAAAAAACAATAGGTTAAATTACTCTAGCCCGTCCTAAATCAAATTAATTACTTGTAACAAAAATTGCAGAAGGACCTAACAGGATATTATATTCGCCACATGTAATAGAGGCAGGGTAAAGAGAACACGCAAAATCAACGTTATGATACTGAAAACGTTGTTTTTTCAAAGGTTTTTAATTTGTCTGTAGACACAAACTTTCTGCTGAAGGTAGTCAGGAAATAGTGAAATATAAACATACAGCTTATGACTGGCAGCACGAAACTTAACATCGAAAGCGTTGGTATCCCCAAGTCACTGTATGTTGGAAGATGTACGACAGTCACCTTGCTATCCCTGAGGTCACTGAGTATATTTGGTGATGTACTGCAGAGAGCGCTGGTATCCCAAGATCACTGTTTGTTTGGGGATGTACCGCGCAGAGCATAGTCATCACCAAGGTCATTGTGAATAGTGTAATGTAACGAGTGTTGTGTGTCGTACAACTCTACGGACACACAACTTCTTGTTTGACTGACTCACTCACCGCTGTTGCTTGAGCGGGTTAGTTATTTCAACATTGCTTATTTTTTTAAAGAAAATTTAGATTTTTTCGCATTTCGGGTGACACTGAGGCGATGTCTGATTCCAGAAGCAAAAAAAAAAAAATTCAAGCGGCTTTAAATATTTGAAAAGCCTCGTGCTCAGAAGAATTTTGAGTCATTTAAATGGGATTTTTTTCTGAATGATAGCAAATGTCAAGTATTTTACTGTCTTGGGTTTTATTTTAACGCTTAAGGACAGTTAAAGTATACAGGTGTTTATTTTATAATAATGTGCTAAAGCGAATCAAGAGGTATGACCGTTAAGCTTGTGAGTTCGAGCTGTGTTCAGTCATCACTTATCACTACACTTTTAAGTTCTACAGCGATGGAAATTGGTTTCAAGAAGTAGGTACATGCTTGGGAACAGTCACGGAAATAGGATTTTTGGGAAAGGGGTTGGGCGAGCTCAGCAATGTTTTTTTAATTGAGCCAAAAGTGATTCACTAGCAATGCAATGCTACCCTATTCTAAGTGACTTATATAGTGGGAACAAACGTTACTTATATTTTCCAGTTATATTCCATCACATAGGATGATTACATGCATTAATGTTGATTGTTGAAATCTGACAACTACGGGAGAAATCAGTAAGGAAATGACGATATCATCATATACTTCATTAAAGATTCAGAAGCAACGAGAGCAAAGGTTTCGTTCCAGTAGAACCGGAGTTACTATACCTTGGAATATACCATCTCTCGGGATGACCTATCTCATACACAGCAGAAATGGATTTTTATGAAAATATCCCCAGCAGTACAGAACGAGGCAACGAAAATTAAATATAGGAGAGAGGAAAAAAAGATTAGTGGAGGGAGAGACTACATTATATATATATATATATATATATATATATATATATATATATATATATATATATATATATATTATATATATATATATAATGTGTGTGTGTGTCGTGCCGAATGGGTAAAATTGGTCACTTAGCAAGAACTCATTTAAAATTATGTCCTTTCTAAAATTTTCTCTTACACGTTTAAATTTACATATTTTTTTATTTATGTTAATGTAAAAATTAATAATTTTGTACGAAAAGAACCTTAGGAAACTTACCTAAGTTTATTATAACAAGCGCAATTTAATTTAGCCTAATTAAACTAAATATATTTTAGATAAGTTTACAGTAATTTAATAATAAACAAACACAAAGAAATATATTTTTTTCGTTAGGTTGAGAATGAGTTTTTGCGAAATTATTGCATACACAAATTTTTGCTTGCCTTATTCGGCAAGATGAGCGTCTAGGAATTTTAAAACTACGAGCTTAAAAATACGTGCACTAGATGAACGACAATCAGCCACAACATCATGGAGAAACTCTTGGTTGACATTGACAAATTAGACACATATGCAACACTTGGGTATCTTTAATAAGGAATGGTTTCGCCACACAGTGGCTTCATCAGTCCATACAAAGGAGAATGGTGAAGAACAGGAGGAGTTTGAGGTAATCAGTCCCTCAACCTTGAGTCGATGTAATCAGTCGACTCAAAGCTGAGGGACTGATTACCTCAAACTCCTCCTGTTCTTCACCATTCTCCTTTGTATGGACTGATGAAGCCACTGTGTGGCGAAACGTTTCCTCATTAAAAATACCCAAGTGATGCACAGGTGTCTAATTTATCAACTTGTCGGTTCTCTGAACCATTCATCTACATTGCTTGACACTGTTGCATAAAAACCGCAGCAGTCAGCATACACTCGTGTAAATACACACATACATAATCAAATGTGTATAAAAAGTATTGTATATAAAATTATGCACATATACACATGTCTACACACTAATAATGCAAACAGTACTGTCTACTCACACGTAAAGGAACGAATACTGATGAGCAGAGTGAGACCTTAGAGCAGGAGTTCTTAGCCTTTTTAGGATTACAGACCTCCAGTGGGTTGCCCAGTATGTACCCCTAGACACTTCACCAGACTGTGAAAATCATCGCCACCACAAGTCCTGTTAGGTTCCAGTATAACTTCAGAAGATGTCAGTAGCTTGGGTTTACTTTACATATGGATAGCCGAAAGAAATTCATAAGAATTTTACCATATAGAAAGATGGCAAATTGTTCAGAGATCGAGTCCCATACCCCATTATTTGGTTCGCTTACACCCAGGGGGGTTATGGATACCCCTGGTTACGAACCCCAGCCTTAGATATCTGGATATGGGGATAGGGCAAAGAGGCACTGTAAGCAATTTGTAAATACTTGTATTAATTTACATTTCAACTTTCAGCATGCAAGACTTGATAAATTCAGCTCTGCTAAATTTTCTTAACAAGATAACAAAAGAATTACCGAGGCGCCTGGGGAGGTGGTAATCAGGTTTGATCCAAGAACTGGGGGGTAGCTCCAATAAAAGTAAAACCCTCTACGAATGTCATATGCTTGCCTTTATTATCAACTGATCGCCTGCCTGCTCTTTACAACTTTCTCCTCTCACTTGTACATTCTGATGAAAAGGACCTCAGTTACAGGTCAGCTTATACAGGTAGAAAAAAATATGCATTTTTATTCCCTTCATATGAGTTTTCTTGAAATATTCTTGACAGATACATATACACCTGGATGTGTATATGCAGAGATATGTATATACACTTCGGGCATGAATACACGGAGAGTAGCAAACTTCACAGTGCATATTCTATGTGATACACTCCTCGAGCTGGAATTTATATTCTGAAAGATTCACGTCTGGGTGTATAAAACCTAAGAAATATATTCACCTCTATGTGTATATACACAGATACTCACCACTGGGTGTATATACACAGATACTCACCATTGGCTGTATATACACAGATACTCACCACTGGGTGTATATACACAGATACCACTGGGTGTATATACACAGATACTCGCCTCTGGGTATATATACACAAATACTCACCACTGGGTGTATATATACAGATACCCACCACTGAGTGTATATACACCGCGGGGAAGATAAATGAATGTTCCATCATTTGTCTCTGCTGAGGGCACACGTCTCATCACTACGCTGCCTAGGTAATTAATGAATCTTCTGCAAGCTGACTTCATTACTGCATAGGAAAAACATTTAGGGTGAAGTGTAAATAGAGGCATTTAACAACTTTTCATACAGAGAAAACTCTACATTTTAATTTAGATGTAGATGTGCATACACGCTGCCAACAGGTGCGGGCATGTAAACAATATGAAAAAAAAAAGTTTTAACTGGGGCATAGCTGTACCCTCAGCTAAACTTTGTTCCAGTGACTCTAGTAGTGATGTATGTATATCCAGGAATGTAATTACCTATTTAAGCTTTCTGGAAAGGAATGGGGAGACACAAGGTAGTTTAGAGGCTCTAGTGATATACTACTACTGTTTTTGCTGCTGCTGCTTGAATATAAAATGAAGACAT